GATTTGAACAAGGCAAAGACGACGAAACATGCAGAATCTAATGACGTCATAAAGTGTCGCGACCTCCTATTTGGCGGCACACGGTCATTGCATATTTATAAGATTAGGTAAACTGCCCAATCAGTGTTTGACCATTGTCCAAAAAATCGAACCAATCAGGCGCAACCTTGCCGTCTACACTACCAAAGACACTTTCTCCATCGTAGAGGAGCTGCAGAAGCAGCATTTGATGAACAAGCACATGATCTCGCTTGACGTGCAGAGCCTGTTTACAAACGTGCCACTGGATGAAACAATTGGCATAATTTGTGAGCATGAGGGTGAGACACGTTTACCATCAGTTCAACTGCGGAAACTACTACAAATATGCAATTCTTGTTAAACGGAAAGTTGTATCAACGAATCAACTGTAAAGCCATGGGTAAGTCCATTGGGGCCAGTCCTATCAGACATTTTGATATCGAACTTCGAGCGAAAATCAACCCGAACCATTCAACGAACCTCATTCTATAGGCGATATGTGGATGACAATTTCGCCATAGCCAAAAAGTCTACGGGCCGGAGAAATATTACTTAAGGTTGTGAACAAAGTAGATGCAAAGATCGAATTTACGATCAAGCATGAGAACAACGAAACACTGCCTTTTCTAGATAGTCTTGTACGTGGGCTGGCAGATGGCTCCATTCAGAGATTCATCTATCGAAAACTCACCTGGAAAGGACAGTATATGCACTCTCTCAGTTTCGATCCATTTCAGAGAAAAGGAACTTGATTTTGCGCCTGTTAAACAGAGCAATTCCAGACTGCCAGTGTGAGTGGACTCACCCTACCAGTCTGACGAGTGGGACGGCTTTGAGGAGGGGGAAGAGAGGAAGTGTGTTGTTTCGGATTTGCTTGTTTCGACCGTGAGTTTTGAGTCTGAGGCCACGGTCAGTGTGCAGATACCGTGAACCCAGAATTTTTTTAGGGCACATCTTATAGCCCCCTCTTGTGGGCGAAGCCTATGCCCTCCCTAAATAGGGCTGCCTTGTCGCACCAGACGGGTACCGCTCTCCACCATGGGTCATGGGGTTAGGAGAGAAGATGACCATTGACCTAAGCTACCTATGTGATTGCATTTCACCCTCCCCGTGGAACTTTTGACGGTGAAGGAGGACAGTAGAGAAGGAGGGGGGAGGAAGGGAAGGGGAAGAATGCTGGAAAAGGAAGGAGGAGAATGGGGAGGAAGGAGGTGGGAGACGGGAGTAGAATGGAGGGGGGGGGGGGAGAGAAGGAGGAGAGAAGAGGAGGAAGAGGGGAGGTTGAGGAGGATGGAGGGGAGCAGAATTCACGTGTGTGAAGATGGACGCACGCATACCCTTCTCTGGTTTGGCCCGCAATCGAGGCGGTCACCGAAGTGTGGCCGTTAGGCAGAGCCTAGCTTCGGTGATCTATAGATATGAGTTGGTTACTTATTAATGGACGCTAGGTGTGGTCACACCTGCAAGCCATGGAGCTACCTACTGCGACCTTAACGTGAACCCACCGCTGAACACCCCTAAATCCCCTGCTAAATGTCAGCCAGAACTCCCAATATACCGGCTTATACAACATCCTTTAACTGTAAACATGCTACTATAGGGGTTTCAGTAACTATTTTTGTTTGCATTAACTTTAAAACGGTTGGAATAATGACTGTAAATGCAATCAATATGTTGTTTGTTGTTATTTATCAAATACACCGGTCGAAGGAGGGGAAGGAGGCGGAAGGGGAGAGAGGGAAGATTGGAGAAGGGGAGGGGGGAGGATGGAAGAGAAAGGGACGAAGGGTGGAGGAGAGCGAGAGTAGAAAGGGGGGAAATGGATGCGGAGAAGACGGGGGGAGAAGGGCGAGGAGGATAGAGGGGAGCAGACTTGGAGATGCACACACGGATACACTCCCCCGGTTTAGCCCGACGGTCGAGACGGTAACCGGGGTTGTGATAACTAGACAGAACCAGTTAATGCATGCTACGCGTCGTCATACCTGCTATCAACTGAGCGACCTGCTATGACCTGCACTTTGACCCACGACTGATACCCTTACAATCTACATCAACAAGTATTACATGCTTGTTGCGTGCAATTATTCAGCTAATCTTTCTAATTTCTTTATGTCTTTTTACTACGGTATTGTAATCAGTAGGCAGTTCAAAGGTGTACGCCTACGTTTCACCTAATAAAAGTGAACTGAATAGTTGACACATGCAGCTGAAACCGATTACTGCTGATAACTTCCCGTTTTGAGAAAATACGCGCAAATATAAAGTCGCTCAAAGAAGTCAAACCCAATTAAAGTTGATTGAACAGTCCTCTTATTTCTACCTTTCACAATTGCAGGCACCAATCAACAAATACACAATTCGTTTCCTAAATGTCGCTTCCGCAATATGTCCAGAAGTTGACCACACTAAAAGACACACTCCGAAACAGGACTTCATCGTGATAGTCAAGTCCGGTGTCTACAATTTTCAGAGCCGACGTCAAATTCGGGTCCTGTTCAAAGACATGGCACAAGAGGGCCGTGTTCTGGGCAAACACCTGGCCCTGGTATTCTCCGTCGGGTTGCCAAGACGGGCAAAGAACAACTTTTTCGAACGTGATGGCTTCAACATCACTCTACCTGGTAGGGCGGGGCAATCCCTCCTCAACGTGGGACCTCGCTACGCGGACATCATGCTTGCGTTGAGGAAGGAGACGGAAATACACGACGATCTCTTGGTTGGAGATTATGAAGATACCTATTACAATCTCACCCTCAAGATGCATTACACCTTCGTTTGGGCAGCTCGTTTCTGTCGGCCGACGGTCAATCACCGTGCTTCACCCCTGTTCATCTTTCTGGACGACGACTTCTCCTTCAACGTGGCCAATCTAGTCAACCTCCTGCGGAGTCTTGAGTCAACGGAACCACCCAAACGCCTCTTAATAGGCAATAACAGGATGCATAATCCCACGATACGGCCTAGTGCCGGCGGTGAGTACAAGAAGTGGGCCCTATCGAAGCGGGAAATGCCCAGTCCGGAACTGCCTCCCCACTGCAACGGAGCCTTCTACATCCTCGACTACACATCCCTGGAGGAAATTGCAATAGCGATGCACTTCATCACTGTCCTGCCACTAGATGACGTCTGGCTGGGTCTGGTGATGACTCGGCTAGGTCTGCAGTTCGAAAAACCATACCAAAACGCCTACAATCCACTGCCGTCTGCGAACGCTGATAGCGCAGTATTCGCACCCCTTGAAGTCTTCTTGAAACGCAGACACGATAAGCAACTGCTTGAGCGTTATCCAATGCGAAGACCAGACAGAACTCAGCCGAAGATCGCTTTAGCACGGGAAAGCAGCAGCACACCGTGGTCAACGGCCCCATCTCCCCTGAACTCGACGTATGCCTAAAACGCATTATTATTTTTGTATGTTTTACTGCATATAATCAACATTTTGCAGTGACTACGCCCGCATTGCCTTTACAACCCAGTTACGATTTCTTCATACTTCCAAGCTCCGCGGAAAAGCAAACCTCCTTCTGTAAACTGTCTGTGACAATAGGAAAAAACCTACACAATTTGACGATAATAATAACTGAACGTAGGTCCTACTAGTAGTATAATACTGAAGACGGAAACAGAATGGCCTTATTCTAGAGCAGGGCTGGTGTTGACTGCGTTTAGTCCGTGAGACAGTTGTTCGCAACGGCTTTACAGGCCCGTGATCTAAGCTTACATGGTTCCCAAACGGTGTGTCTTGCATTCGCTGAGGAGAAATGTTTAAATGGCTTATGTTGCTGGTTACAAGGGTGTGGTGCATTAAAGTGACGCATGGGCAACTGCGACTCCGTGGACGCATGTGCGTCCGAGTTGAAGTCGGTCGAGTGGCCACCGGTCAGCGCGCCTGCGAAGGTGATGGTCTTGACGCAAAGGGGCCCTGAACAAGGACGCCGGACATGGCTGTCGGCAACATTGCAAAACGGTACGCACACATGGCTAGCCATGGACACACATTGTCACGATACCGGTGAGCCTTTCTTCTTTCGCAAATTATCGCTCCAGATCTTCCAACTTTGTTTATTTGAGTTCAATACCAGTAAACGGCGTGAACCCAGCCCAGTCGCGGTCAAGGCGAGGAAGGATTATTTAAGTGCGGTTTTAATACTGGTTATCTTGCGGCATAGTCTTATAAAATTTCAGACTTGGCAGGATGTCAGCTTTCGAATACACTGCATTTCAATCTCCTGTAGAAACCGCACTCGGTAAAAATGACGACTTATGTAGCATGCATTTTTCCCATTGGTTTTCGATGGTCTTGAAAATTCAAATATATCTAATAGAAACCATAAACAAAAATAGGCTTTCTTTCAGTCAATTAATACAGAATCACGTCTTTTTTATATTTTATATTAGAAAAAGGAGTATAATTAAGTTTTAAAAAGTTTTCTAATTGCCAAATAATTTGGAGCTTGATCATTCGTTGCACTAGCTCTTGGTAATTTCAGTTTACAAGGTGCATGCATTCCGTGTAAAGAAAATCACATATTTTTCTATGTCATTAAAAAGACATCATACAGAGACCATAGGATTTTTCAATGAATGCGGACTATGTTGTACATTTCATGAGGAGCTGTGGTAAACGGCGAGGTATGATGCTATGTGAATGGACATTGCGGGGTCTTAAGAAATCTCATCATAAGAAACTTTTTTAAAACCTAATTATACTACTTCTTTGAGTATAAGATATAAAGAAGAAGTGATTCTCAATTAATTGACTGAAAAAGGACATGTTTTTATTCGTGGTTTCTATAAGATATATTTGAATTATCAAGACCATCGAAAATCAATGGAAAAAGTTCATGCTACTTAAGTAATCATTTTTTTCCGAGTACCGTTTATACAGGAGATAAAATAGCAATGTATTCAAAAGCTGACATCCTGCCAAGTCCGAGATGTTATAAGATTATGTCGCAAGACAATCGGTATTACAACCGCGACCAAGTAATCCTTCCTATTCGAAAACGCATTTCAGAATTTCAGCCAACATTTCATGAGATCGGTTACTCACTGTTACTCAGACACTCGCCGGATTAGGAAGGGGAAGAGAGCGCAAGCAGAGCTCGAAGCACGCACAGGGAAGCTCATGTAAATCGATGCTTGGTGTAAGGGACGGTAACAGGTACACACACTCCTCGCGACACGACCGGTCGTTGGATGAAGAGGATAAGGTGGGTGCAATCACAACTGTAAGGCCACAACTGCGACCACTACCGGCGAAGGTCCCCGCTGTCCGAACAACGACTGGACTCGCCCGGCCAGAGATAATAAAGAGAGCGCAGGCGGGGATCGAAGCGAGAGGATGGTATATGAGCCCTCCCCCCCCCCAGGCCAAGTCACCCGCTGTATTAATTAAGCAAGGAAGCCGCCAACAAGTGATGCATGTAAAGTCAGCGTAATCACACCAACTAAAATTGTTTTAGTCAGTTAACAGCATGGTGTCGGTCAGGTGGGTAAGCAGGACCAACCCTCGCCGCGGGGGGCCTACCCCACCCTGCTCATCCCTCCCTTACTGTTTGCCTATGGAAACCGTCCAATTGTTCTCCTACTTTCGTGCTCTCCGATGATTGGCTCCTGTGCAAAAGCGCAATACCCGTGCTAATAACAACACTGTTCTAGCGGTTGCGAGTTTACCTCCTTTGCAGTGCTGTCCTTTATTTACTTTGTAGTAAACTGCGTGTTCTGAGGAGGTGTCTTCTAGATTTTTGAAGTTGTAGCGGCTAAGCGGTGATGCTGTACGCTCAGTATGCCACAACGTCAGGCCATATCCCATGTTGTTAGAAGCAGGACGCCATTTGGAGAGAGGATTTTATTTATTCTGTACAGAATATTGAAGGAAAGTTGGCAACCGGACGAGGTGGTGCGTCCGGCACCTCGGAGACGGCGTCCGCGAAAGCGACGAGCCATGTGTCGCCGAAGGTCGCCGCTGCAAAAGTGTCGTGACAGATTGTTTACGCTAGTGTTCTGGGCTGTTTCCGCCTGTCTTACCAATCAGCGATAGTAGGTGTGTTGATTGGTCCCAAGCCCACGCGAGGGTAGTGAGAAGCCTCGCATGGTGCAGGCAGAGTATCGACCAGATGCGTGGTGCAGACAGTGAATTGCAACGAGACAAATCGAAGCTGGGCAGACGTGCGTGCCACAGCAGACTGTCGCTAGGACGTGGGCGCAGGCGCTAGCGAGAGGCGCGACGTAGCCACTGTGGCGGTTCACTACAAAGTCATTCAATTCCCGATTTTTTTTGAAACTGGCCTGTCGTCGCACTTGCGTTTAAGGTCTTCGGTAAGGGCAAGGAATAAACTTAATAGTCTAAAAGACTGGCCACTGCATTTTCTTAAGTAGGTGGTGTTACCGTGTACCACAGGTTTGGTCTACATATTTCACCGGCTGATAGAATTGGCTACTGCGTACCAGTTCCATCGGGAATAGTAACTCAGTTGTCACGCTGGGTACACCTCCGACATGTGGGACGGGAGGGTTTCCAATGCTTGTTTTAGGTCGAATGTGTTAAATACGAACCATTAAACGATAGTGTATCTCGTCCGTGTGAGCCAAGACAGCTGGGCCTGATAAAGGGCCTCCTTCATGTAATCTTCTTTTCATACGGCTCCAATACGATTCAATTGCGTTGGTGTTTCGACCTGTAGTTGCGTTCACAAAGTACCTACTGTGGTTTAGAGTGTAATGTTCATATATCGCAGACGGCAGGCCTGAGTAGGCTCTCCATTCATCCGTCAGAATAACACTGCCCTTTGTCCCCCTATAAGTTAGTATATTTGGAGTACACGGCAGAAGCCCTGAAAACTCCATCTAGTCGATACACATGTAAGGGAAAATAGTTAAATTGCAAAAATTTTGCCTGCAGTTTTAGCAGGCAGAATGCATAAATATAATAATGGAACAAAAGTGCGAAAAGGGTATGTCATTTGTGAAATAATTGCGAAAAACTCTGTTCACCGCATTCGGATGGTAAAAATTTCCCTATGGGTCAAGTTTAACGCACAAAAGGACCTATTGAAATCTTGTTAGTAGTATATTTTTAGTCATTTCAGGAATCCTCTAGATCAGGCTTCGGCAGTTCGGGCTGCCTTTCAGCTGGTGACTACCCACTTGTCTCATGTACACACTCATGGCAGGGGAAATAACAACATATGCCGGCAAAGAATTCCATTGGCTAATGACCCTCTGTGAGAAAAAAAGGATGAATGTTGGTTTACCTGGCGTAGTTCCTTTTTAAGCTGGTACTCGTGTCGCCTGAGACTAGACTTGGGTGCCATTTCAAAAAAACGTTTCATTGTTAAAATCCAGGTTAAGTCGTCTAAGCAAGTGAAACGTTCCTATGAGGTCACCTCTGTCCTGCCTGTAGTGGAGGGGATGGAGGTTCAAGGCCGTCTGGGAAGACTGATTGGGTTGGACAACCTTTACTGTTGGGGATGTTGCTAGACAAGGCTCTGCAGGCTAGTGACAAGCTTTGCGCAGTCCCAGCAGAGACTCGACAGGGAGCGTGAGGCGGACAGAAGGGCAGCGTAACAAAGTGGCGGGGAGCAGGGAAGCACAGACCGCTACAATCACGTCAAATGGTACCATAATGTAGTTAAGGGGGACAGTTCTTCCCCGGATGTGGTGAAGAATTAAGTGGATGCATTGATAGATTCCCTTGCAGTTCTCAAAGAAAGCTTAGCCTTCCGACTATCCCTTTGGCTAGGTGCCCTTGAGGGCAGCCACAGACCGAAGGGAAACTTTAGGATTTTGGATTCTGGACCTGGTCAATGTTGTCTCAGTGGGTTTTGCTTAACGCCCTCCGACGGGCGATATCACATTTTTGTGCATAAGTTGATTTAAGAGTGCGATTAACTGACCGATCATCGATTTAGAAAAGCGTAGGTTTGTAGGACAGTGTTCGTCGAGAAGGTCTTGTGCCTAAACCTTTTAATCGAGACGGTTTGTCACAACGGTTGCTTTTCCTTTGTCAGACGGCAGCATCATAACATCTTTGTCCAATTTTAGTTTCTTCATAGCTTTTATTTGTGCGCCTTCTCGCCGCCGGAGGGAGGGGTGCTACTTGTGACCAGTCAATATGACACTCATTCCTTTGGTCCGACCGACAGAACAACGGGTCCGTGCCTCAATGGCAGAGTGTCAAACTCCATGACCGAAGATCCTGGGTTCAAATCTCAAAAGATCCGCGATTGGATTTGGATATTATTTGCTGATGACAGTCGAAAAACCCGAAATGTCCATTCCGGTCTCCTATCTCATTTACTACTACTACTACTACTACTACTACTACTACTACTACTACTACTACTACTACTACTACTACTACTACTACTACTACTACTACTACTACTACTA